ACTCTACAATCAGTAACTGTACCAGCAGTAACAGTACCAACAGTATCAGTACAGTACCAGCAGTAACTATACCAGGAGTATTAGTAACTCTACAATCAGTAACTGTACCAGCAGTATTAGTACCAGTACCAGCAGTAACTGTGCTAGCAGTATTAGTAACTCTACAATCAGTAACTGTGCCAGCAGTAACTGTGCCAGCAGTATTTGTACTATACTACTGTAGTTCACGTAGGGAGCTACGTCTGCATGCCTAGGCTGCAAAGGATCAGGTAAAGGCTTATTCCAGGCGGGACCTGCTCTTTGGATCTGTACTACTGTAGTTTTGAACTTCCGTCGCAGTCCGGTGGCTGAACCGTGAGAAGGGCTCGCGCTCATGACATCCGGTCACTCGACTCGGCTTCACCAGCCAGCTGGAGTTCACAGAGGTGCGGATTTCTCGCGAAAATGCCGCGGAGGGAGGGCAGGTGGGGAAACCCCACGCGTGTCCGCGCTCGAGTTTCTGTCACAGAAACCCCTGAAGTCGGAGCTCGAGGACGCAGGTTCTGCCGGGCACGCGGGTGGACCACCTGCTTCCCGTGGAAATCGGGTTAATTCCACAGCTCGGACTTTTTTTCGGGGGCTGAAAGTCTGTCGTGCCGGGATGAGGAGAGCAGTTCTGTGTCCCGGGACACCGGGCTCGCGTCAGGGCGCCGTGCCGCCGGCTGTCCGCACGCCCTCCGCTCAAGCGCCTCCTGCTCTTCCGGAAGTTCCCCGGCTCGCGAGGCCCTGGGAGACCGCCAGCGGCGCTCGCGGATGAACACGCCTGGTGGAGCCGAACGCGGCCCGACACGCGCGGACACCTGTCCCTTTCCCCGCCCCCTCGGGGGGGACAGCGACACGACCGCCCGCGTGACCCGGCTGAGCTCGCCTCTTTCCCGAATCGCGGAGAACTCGGGGCGGTCCGTGTTAGTGCGGGGAATGTCTCCCCCAGCGGTCTGTTCCACACACACACACACCTCAACCTCCACAACAC